TGTTTTATCCAAAGATGCTGTAAGAACTGTTGGCATTGTTGCACAAAATGAGCATCCAAAGCTGAACTTTGTATATGTTGAAGATTTCAGTAAAAATCATTTTTTACTTTGTTTTCAACTCTGTCCTTCTTAAAACCTTGACAGGAAACCCAACCAAGCTGAGCATGTCATTTCTGCATGGTGAAAAAACTTGAATATATTTGCAAATTTAACCTCAGCTGTTGATTTCTAACACTCAGACACTTTACTGGACCCAGCTAGAAAAGGTTGCTAAATTACATGAGTAAACTTGCAGTAGATAAGTTTTTACTATATTTGTTACAACTATTTCCATCTGAAGAAACGCACCGCTTCAGATGAAAACCAACCAACCAGAAGGAAGATCTTAGTGTTATCATTCAGCTAAATGTGCTCCTGTCAGAAAGGCTCTGTAGCAGGGAGCAGCACATACAGAAGCTTATTGAGAGCGCCAAGATCCTCCTCCTAGCTCTGATTGGTTGTATTTCTGTAGCTAGCACTGGGGGAAAGCGTATTGTTACAAAATAGGAATAATTTGAACAAAAGGAAACCAGTTTTTAGAAAAAGTTACATGCTGTAGGTTTATAAACATCTAAACTAACTAAGCTTAATCAGTCTAAGACCACTAATTTGTTTGTCCTTATGATTAGAGTTGACTGAACTAGTGGCTCAAAGTGACTTCATGGTATCTGGTGGAACATAAATAACTGAATTTGATTCTTTTATGTCTTGAAATTCCACAAAAGAACAAGCTTTGATTTAAGTCTAAGTTTGATAAAACACAAGAAAACACTTATTGATGAACCATTTCAATATAATTAATTGTAACAAATGTAAACTATTGCTAAAAACTAACCCTGAATATTTTCCTTTTTAGCAAAAAGAATCTGGCTTGTTAGCATATCGGTAAGATCTTAAGTTTAAGGATGTCAAGTTAAGTGTTCTTACCTTCTTCGGAGCAGCAGGGACTATCACTTGTGCTGGTTTCTATGGAAACGCAGGACAGCCTTTCATTTCCAGCTCTGGTCAACAAGCAGAACTCACCTTCCAGTCCACACTGGCCTAATAAATGTTAATCTAAAACAGGGGTGCCCAAAGTCAGTCCCCGAGGGCCAGCATCCAGCATGTTTTAGTTTTCTCCTCAGTAAGTCAATGTTCTCCCTCGAGGACTGACTTTGGGCACCCCTGATCTAAACTTTGCTTCCAAACTGCCATAAAAAAGATGAAGAAGACAGTTTTTGGGATGCTTGAGTAATAATTGACTAAGATTCATATAGAGGATGATACACATATCAAACGGGTTGAAATTAGTGTTTAAATTGCCCTCAAATAGTTTGAGGACAATTGAGTGACATCTGAATCACATAAGTGATAGACTAATGACTTTTTCAGGGTCATTTTACTAATCATTGAGTGACAGGTTTAACTAATGACTCTCAGTTTAAAGGTGTGACTACCTGCACCACCACAGCTGGACTGACTGGTTTAATTAGATGCTCTGCAAGCAAACAGGCTCTTCAGAGTTTTAATTATCATTCAAGATTATTTGTATAGCATATTTAGCATCAAAACAATTCATAGTGCTTTACATCATAAAAATACAAAGTCATAAAAAACATCATCCAATAAACAATTGAGAAAACTAGTAACATTACATTTTGATGAATGGCATCACAAAAAGCATCTTTACACATCAAATAAGTTGCTCGATGTTTCATATACTATGGTTCAAAAGCAACTCTAAACTGGTGGGTATTTTTTGTCACCTGTTTTTTTTTTTCAAACTCAACATTGACAACTGCAATGCAACAAATCATGGGTAAGAAGCTCATGGGTTCAGGTCATCACAAAATTTAGATGGGCATCAGACATCAAGTATGAAGGACATGGTTTCAAATCCTGGAAAGAATGCCTTTTTAATAAACCACTTTAGAATGCAGAAAAGAAATGCGCTATGAGAAACTTCCCAAGTGTGGAAGATCATGTGGTCTACTGGCAATGCTGTAGGACCAGCATTATAAAGGTCATGGGTTCAAATCCCAGCAGGAATTAAGAATGCTGATTTTTTTATTTTTATTTTTTTCAGTCTTTCAAGGTCAACATTGACATCGGAAGAGATAAATGCGCCACAAGAAACTTTCAAAACATATAAGGTCGTGTGGTCCACAGGTTACGTCATCAGATTTGAAGGATGTGGGTCCAAATCCTGATCTTGGGCTGTAAATAAAGTGGACGTTCATGCTTAATTTGGAATTTAATGGGATTTTTAGATTAAAACATACAAAGTTCATCATAATCAGTCAAAATTAAGGATAATTGTTCAGAAAAATATGATTTCTGCTTAAATATGTTTTTTATCAATTTATTTTTACTCGAGGAATGCACAGATTTCAAAGTTTTTTGCCGATACTGCCAATTTTTCATTTTCTCGGTTTTCATGCAAAAAGTCAAGAAAATAAAAAATTGGCAGTATCAGCAAAAAAACTTTGAAATTGGTGCATTCCTGGAGTAAAAATGCACCGATTTCAAAGTTTTTTGCTGATACTGCCAATTTTTCATTTTCTTGTTTTTGGAATATCGGCAGTATCAGAAAAAAACTTTGAAATCGGTGCATTCCCTGAATAAAAATAGATTGATTAAAAAAACATATTTACGCATGTTTATCGGAACATATAGCCTTAATTTTGACTTATTATGATAGTGTTTTAATCTAAAATCCTAATAATACCAATTATTTAGAGACAAAGATCAGGATTTGAACTCATGTCACTTGTACCTGATGTCTTATGGCATAACCTGTGGACCACACAACCTTCCACACTTCAGAAATTTCTCATAGCGCATTTATCTTTTGTGCTGTCAAAGGTGATTTTGAAAGAGGCTGACAAAATTGACATCCATGCACCGATTTCAAAGTTTTTGATGATACTGATGATTTTTCTTTTTTGTGTGTGTAAAGACCGAGAAAATGAAAAATCCTTTCCAGGATTTGTACCCTTGAGCTTTGTACTTGAAGTCTGTTGTCTTAACCTGTAGACCACATGATCTTTCACAGGTTTAGTGACATACGTTGAGCTGTTTTGATCTTCATGTAACAAGTGACAGACTAATGACTTTTTCAGGGTCATTTTACTGATCATTGAGTGACAGGTTTAACTAATGGCTCTCAGTTTAAAGGTGTGACTACCTTCACAACCACACCTGGATTGACTGGTTTAATTAGATGCTCTGCAAGCAAACAGGCTCTTCAGAGTTTTAATTATCATTCAAGATTATTTATATGTCACATTTCAGCAACAAGACAGTTCATAGTGCTTTACATTAAAAAGACACATAAAAACACAATCATGAAAACCAGTAACATTGCATTTTGATGAATGCCGTCACAAAAACCATCTTTGCATATCAAATAAATTGCTCAATGTTTCATATATTATGGCTCAAAAGGGTTCAAATCCTGGAAACAATGTCTATTTTGTCAGCCTCTTTCAGTCACCATGACAGCAGAAAAGATAAAAGCACCACGAGAAACAGCTAAAGCGTGGAAGGTTGCGCGGTCTGGAGGTTACGGCATCAGACATCAAGTATAAAGGACATGAGTTCAAATCTTGGTAGGAAAGCATGGTGTATACCTCTTTAGTCAGCATCTTTCAAAGTCAATATTGACACCACGAGAAAGGTGGTGCTAGGTCCGTCCAGACGCTTCGGTTGCCGTGGAGGCTAACAATGAAAATTTGACACATACAAGATGATAAAGTGCAACATGATGATCATGTTAGGTCTTAGCTGGTTTTAAAGTAAGACAAGGCAAATTTATTTCATGGTTTAATGACTGGCTACATTGTGAATATAACTGTTATTGACTTACAAAACATTTTCAAACTAATTATTTTGTGGACAACGTGCCTCTGCATCACAAACACCTACATGAATAGATAGCATTGCTGAAGGCAGGCTTATTAAAATGTATTATTTCCTTCTAAGCATATAAAAATGAATAAAGTTGGAATAATATTTATGTACATCTCACTTTGGTGCACATCAGAGGTACAGAAGCAGTCAGTGCAATACCTCCGAGATCAAATTATAGCTTCACACCCAACAGCTAAATGTTCAACTTGCAAATCAAAGTCTTAGTGTAACCTCATGTTGCATCACAACACAATAGCAACTTTAACCCTCTGAGGCAGGAAAATCTAAAGTGTCTCATTAACAGTAATGATGCAACACAAAAACATCATGTCAAAAGATCAATCACAAATACCTGTTCGACATTTCACGCCTGATGACGCCTGCTTACCAAGAAAAGTTTGAAAGCCATTTGGAAAAAGTGAATGTTACACTTTGGGGTACACTGAACACTTTCAATGGCAACTTGTTTAAACTAGATGCAGCACAACATAAACATCTAAATTTATAGTCTATGGGTATTACAGGTTGCTTTCCTGAACGTTTCCCCCCCCCCCCAAAAATACAGGATGACCCATTTTACATTTTAGTACATACAAGATACCGTTGGGGACAAACGGCGAGTTACATGTCGGAACTGACATAAAAGAGCCTTTACATTACAGAAAGCACAAAAATAGAACATTTACATTCTGAAACTTACAGGTTATTCCTTTTTAGACCTTTCAAGAAATTAAATTCTAGAAAAGAAAAACTGGAATACAGAGTACAATCTATGATGTTTCGATTAGTATTATGAGTAAAACAAAATTCACTCTAAAAAGGTGAACTTTTAGCCTTGATTTAAAAGAATTCAGTGTTTCGGCTGTTTTGCAGTTTTCTGGACGTTGGTTCCAGATTTGTGGTGTATAGAAGTTGAATGCTGCTTCTCTATGTTTTATTTCTGGTTGTGGGCATGCAGAGCAGAACCAGAACCATAAAACCTGACAGGTCTGGAAGGTTGTTACAACAGCACCAAACCTTTAATTTAATTAGGAGCCAAGCCATTAATTTATTCATTTCATTTATTTATTTTTTTGCCTACCTGTGAAGACGCTGCTGCAGTAATTTGTGTGACTCAAATTAACGCATGCGTTGGTGTCTCTAGATTTTGCTGAGAAATTAGTCCTTTAATCCAATAATAATTCTTCAGGTGATAGAAGACTGACTTTATAACTGTCTTTGTGCGTCTCTGAGGGTTCAGGTCCGAGTCTGTTGCTACACCCAGATTCCAGGTGTACCCTCCTTCTGTAATGACTGAAGCTGAGCGTCAACTCTTCTGTTTTACTACTCAACTGAAGAGAGTGCGTTGCTTTGTTGTTTACATCTGCTTGATGGATGGGTTCATAGTGGCCAAATGAGCTGTGTCTCATTTGCATAAATGTTAGGGTGTGACCATCAATAGGCCCCAATTTCTATTGATTCTTATTTGAAATGATTGCATTATAATACAAAAAATTTATGGGAAAATTCTAAGATGAGGGAATGGCAGGAAAGAGGTTAAATACCTGCTAAAGTGGGAGACTTGACTGGTATAATTGAGAACAACAAAAGAGAGACTGAGTCAATGTCAATTTTATTTATAAAGCACTTTAAAAACAGATATTAACTGTACAGTATTCATAAACTTTAGAAAACACACAAGACTAAAACATAAATTAAAACAGACAGGTCAAGTAAAATTGCAATCTCAAGCCTAATGGAAAAGCCAAATAATAAAAATGAGTTAAGGAGTGATTTGAAGTGTTCAAGACTATAGATCTAATGTCAAAGAGCAAGTTGTTCCACAAATTAGGAGCCATGACAGCAAATACCTGATTGCAATCTGCTTTTCAGTCTGGTTCTGGGAATATGTAAGAGCAATTTATTATTTGACCAAAGTGTTGTAGAAATGGACTGAAGAAGTGTGTGACAGACTAATACTGAGGCTGTTCAATTCCAACACTGAAGTAGACAATGCCCTAAAACTAGTGGCTTTAGTGCTTTAGAAGAACTTCACATAGCAATATTACTTATTGCTGAAGTAATAATGGCTGCTGCCGTCTGTGGTTGATATTGAGATAATTGGGCGAGGAAAGCTGACGGTATTGTCTCAAAATCATAAGATGGTGGTGGGATTGTGATGTGATGCTCTTCACTGACATAGACTTCAGTCATAATTTCATAATCAGAATTTTCAATCATTGTTTAGGTCTGAATTTACTGTGTCTGTCTCCTGGTGCAGAAATATGATGCGTGTCTCACGCCAATGGTAAGTCAAATTTCAAACAAGGTGAAATGGTGAAGAAATGTTGCATCAGTCTTAGGGTTCATGCTCAGACACATGAGGGCGTATGTCAAGGATAAAAGAGGCATCTTGATGTGGGGTCCCATTTCTCTGTCTCCTCCCTGATGGACGGCAGTGGAGACTCCTCTCTGTGCTTCCCGAACCATAACTCCTCCTGCAGGAGGCTGCTGCTGCCCCTTTCTGAGACCGCCCTGTTCCACATGTTGCTGACTCTCATCTCCCTGCTCACCGTGATGCTCAACCTGCTCGTCATCGTCTCCATCTCCCACTTCAGGCAGCTGCGCACCCCGACCAACTCACTGTTGCAGTCCCTGGCCGTGTCCGACTTGGTGGTGGGGCTGCTGGTGATGCCCATCGAGGGGCTGCGCCACCTGGAGACCTGCTGGCTGCTCGGCAGGCTCATGTGCGCTCTGACTCCTTATGTCTCCTACTGTCTGATCTCTACCTCTTTGGGCCACATGGTGCTTATATCAGTAGACCGCTATGTGGCGATCTGTGACCCGCTGCTTTACCCTACTAGGATCTCGGTGGTTAAAGTTCAGATCTGTATTTCTCTGTGCTGGGCGTGTTCGATGCTCTACAACGGGCTGATAATGATGGGCCACCTGGGCTGGCCGGACAGGTTCAGCTCCTGCCACGGGGAGTGTGTTGTAGTCATCAGTCACATTTCAGGAACCGTTGACCTCTTTGTGAGCTTTATAGCTCCCTGTGCTGTCATGGTTGTTCTTTATCTCAGGGTGCTTCTGGCCGCTCTCTCTCAGCTGCGTGTCATCCGATCACAGATAAAATCGGCGCAGGCTGCGTCCAGATCTGAGTGGAAGGCGGCCAGGACCCTCGCTGTTGTGATTGTTGTGTATATGGTGTGTTTTTGTCCTTATTTCTACCCTTCCTTCGCAGGCGAGGACACGTCCAACAGCTTTTCCTATTTTGCCGCACTGTCATGGATCATGATGCTGAACTCCAGCATGAATCCTCTGATCTATGCTTTGTTCTACCCCTGGTTCAGAAAAGCTATCAAACTCATCCTGACCCTGAAAGTGCTGCAGCCCAACTCCTGCGAAGTGAAACTCCTGTAGGTGTATGATCGTTTTTCAATTGTAAAGTTTTCATTTAAAACATGCTCACTGTTTTATTCGTCTATAGTTACTTTATGGCCTTTAGCGGCCAGCTCTTTAATAACTCTCACGTTGATTAACATGACCAAACTAACAGGAACATTTATACAAACTATAATGACTCACGGCCTTTAACTAGACAATTTGAATGTGTTCATTTGCACTTTCAGAATAAAAACCTGCAAAACATTTAAAGTGGGTTAATTAAAAATAATTGTAAGTTTTAAATCTACATCGTTTCAGTGATTTTATAAAAATGTTGTTAACAATTCATATGCTTTTTTATTTAAGTAAAAGCTCAGGAGCCTTTCATCACAAACCAACCTGTTTGTGTGTTTTATTACAATTGTGGTTCTTTCTTCCCTTTTTTCCTCAATGATAATACATTTGCTCCCATTTTTAATATTACTTTTCTGTCAAATTTGAATCACAACTTCTTAGAAATCTAAATAAAAGAATAGTTAACATGTCAGTGTTAAAGGGATTCTATTTGGTAGAACAGAATTAGCAATTTTGTGAAATTACAGACCAAATTTTAATCTGGCTTTTGTGAAGTTAGTTTTTGGTTTTATATAATGATGAACAATAAAACGACACATTGCAGACAGAGTACCGGAGTGATGAAATTGGCTATTTTGCAACATAAAAGAATAAAGAATATTTAACAATAAACTATGACGCTGTGACATGAAACTAACAACAGAAAATGCACATTAGTTCATTTACATGAAAAGTTCCAGTCTTTCTAAATGGGGGTGTTGAGAATCTATAATCACTTTTAACAGATTTAAAAACCTTTAAATGTGAGCATCACACTGTATTCCTGGATAATTTCACTGAAAATTAAAGCAGGAGTCATTTTAAGGCCTTTAAACACACTGATTTGCAAATACATGGAACTGAAATATGTTGATGTAATTTGTAACATCTTAAAATTTTGACAAAACCAGATCACAAAGTTAAAAACTGTGTAAGTAAGAATGAAACAACAACAAAAAAAGTTGCATTTAGTTAGAATGAAATGAAAAGAAGCCTGCAAGATAGAATTGGGACAATGAGCCTTGATAAATGAATATATTTGTGATGTCAGAACATGTGCCATAATTAGAAAATCTGAGTAAGAGATTTGACCGAGATGTCTTGGAAAAATATAACAGATTAAAACTGAGGGCTTAAACTTTATCAAAGCATGAAGATGCAGCACTAAATGGTAAACTATGAACACAAACCATTTCGAACACTAGATGGCGGAAAAAGTTACTTCCTGTTGAATGTCTTTAAAAAAGAGGTTTAGAAAATGACATTAGTCAAAGCCTCTGACCAGCATTGAGAAAAGCTCATCCATTAATGACATGTAGGAGACGCTGTGAGAGTCCGGTGGTGAGAGAGATGCAACGGAGGTGCTGCAATTCTTATTTTAAACAGCAGACGGCGCTGCATTCAACAACTGATGGAAAAAGCGTCTATTGAGGGCATGCATTTCTAATACAATTCTAACTCTTTAAAAAGAGAAGTATATGCGATGAGTTACAACAGGTAGTTTTGCGCCTGTGTATTTCAGCTTCCCTTGCTGCATTTTATTTGGTGTATTTTAGAAAAACAACACAAAAATATTTTAGAAAATTGGCTAAACCTATGCCAAAAGAAAAAAAAAAGAAAAAAATGTTTAGGTCCCACAGAAAACATGGCAACTGAAACACAAATGGGTGTGGGTCTACTGTATGTAGATTTTGGGAGGAAATCTACATACAATTCTTCTCATCACTTTTATTACCACAATAGTGCCACAGAATATTGTGATAAAACTTTAAGTCATTTTGCCCACTCCTACATGCAGCCCTAGTGAGATGGGAGTTTGTTCTCTACTGCACAAAACATGCATTTACAACTCATATTCCTTATTAGCTGCATATCACTCAATTTACTTGTATTTCTGTTGCAAACAACTGATACTAATGTTTATTTTTACTGCCACTGACAGCAGCCGGGTACCACCGGTGGTACTTGTTCTCAGTTTGAGAACAAGCGGGTTCCTGCACAAACTAGGCACGTTTTGAGCCAGTAAAATCCCATGGATCAAAGTTTCAGAGTAATGAATCCTGCTGAACGTATTGATGGATGTGAATAACACCATAAGGTGGGTGAGCGCTTTGGTTTCAAAGAACAGGAGAATTTAAACCTCGTCCATCAATATTTTGGTGACCTAAGCCGTATTACTCCATAAACATGTGTTTACCACGATAAATCCAAGATTGTTACAACATTGGATGTGAGGAAAACATCAAAGCCCAACTACTGGGCGACTATTAGTTCTCTGTTGAGAACAAATAATTGGGCTATGCCATGGATGTAGGATGGGCAAGAACACAGTGTTAGGATCTCCTCCGCATCGCCGAAGGCTGCAAGTGGGACCAGATCCAAGCAGCTGGTTGTTGCTTTTCATGTCCCAGCTGTTAAACTGGGAGTTTTCCTTCGACCCAGTTACACGCTGGCATCACGGCTATAATTGAGGGTCTTGTTCATTTAAAACTTGAGCCGTCATTAAACTCAATCCACAAAGCATTTAATTACTGACTTTCCTGGCAGACTGTTGCAACACTCCACAGGCATCTCACAACATTACGACGTAAAACAAATCCAGCACGATTGGTGGCCTTGGTATCCTGACTGATGTTGAAAAAACAGCCTCTAAAAGATGTTACTGTGCTACTAATCCCAAGCTAATCCCCACTTGGTTCTAATTTACGTTGTGTGTCATCTCTCGACCTTGTAGCCAAAGCAGAAGACAAAACCAGAGCAGCTTTCAGAAGCTCTAACTCAATAGATATAACGGCGATTAAGGATGCCTTCACACATCCCCATTTAGTCCACTTTAATAAAACTCTGGTTCATTTTGGGAGGAGTGAATGCGTAATCGAACTCTGATGCAGACCAAAAAAAGCAAACTCTGGTACCATCCGAAATGCATATGTGAACGCCAAGCGGACCAGAGGCCGCTACAAAAGCTGGAAGTGGACTACAATGCAGGGCATTCTGGGTAAAAACAACCAAATCCAACATGCCAGTCTAGCCCAACAGGAGAAATGGCTCATGGCCTCTTACTAAAATCTGATGCCACTCCATTTTTGTTTACATTTTGTGAAGAAGGACGTTGTGCTCATGTCTCGTTCAGAGGTTTTCAGGTCGTTTCCTTCAGTAGTTCTTGATGCAGCGCCGCCACAGGTGAGGAGCAGAACAAGTTTTTCAAAAGTTTGGATCGTTTGACACTGTTAAGGTGAACAGCGCCAGCTGAAAATGTAGCAAACGTTGCAATTTTGGTTCCCCAATCAAACCGATAGTATCAAACTAACAAGTGTGAAAACTACCTTGGATTTTATGTTATCCAGAAAGCTTAGTCCTAAATAACGTTTATTCTACCAGAAGGTGTTTCTACAGCTTTAAACATATGCATTTATCAGTTTGTCACCACCTGTCTTGCCCTTAGGCTGTGAGCAAGCCAATGCTAAAGCAAGAGAGCATAAAAAGGAGCTCAGTGGAACCTGTCCAGCCAACATCAGCTCAATAAAAGAGTAGACCCCGCTACTGCTCTGAACTGTGACAGGCCCCTGAAAGGAGGGGAAGCCACATTCGTTGAACACAAAGATCCTGCTGTTTGGTGCAAAGGGTGCTCTATCTGCAGCCGAGGACAGGATGTTAGGAGAAACCAGGAGAGTTTTATAAACAGAGACGATGATGAGCAAGGACAGCTGGGGTTAGTAAAAAAAAAAAAAAAAAACTCCTCTGAAAATTTTACTTCAATTAATTTTTCATCAATGACAAAGAGATTGAATTTGAAGCTAATTTATTCTAATCCACACAAAACTGAGTCTGGATCATCCTTAGATACATTTTCCAGAAGTCTCAAAGAGAAATGTTCGTCTGTTTCAACATTTAGGTACAACTCAAGATGCTTTGGGATCGCTTACAATTGCCTATTATAATAGTTCAAACACAAAATATACCTCGATGTGCATCAATCTCCAGTTTTCAGTGTCTTCACTCCTGGTGTTACAGCCAATCAGCACCAGGGAACATGAATGGCGCCCTAGGACTGGCTGATTTGCAAACTTCAGCCATTAGCATGTCAAATAGCATTACATTGAGTTGTTCCAGCTTCCCAAACTGAATTTTCTTTTGAATATTTCATATATGCTTGGGGAAAAAAATCTGCAAAAATCTGCAAATACCAAAACTGGTGTTCAACTACACTCTGGCACTGAGCAAATGGAAATTATTTCAGTAACTCTCACTGACCTAAAACAGGAATCGTCGACAGTGGATGAAAAAATGGTTTACATGGTTTTTGTAAATATTTGGTTTGTATTGTGATTGTTTTTAAATCATCAAGTGAAGTTATAAATCTTTATGCTTTTCCTGAATATGACAAACCCTGGTCTGAGTTCGCATGATGAAATGAGGAAAGCAATGAGTGGAATGTGGAACTGCTGAGCAGATTTCAACACATAAAGCGAGCGCGCTGCAAGCAGGCACTTGCCACCGTGTGCGTGCGCGAAGGTGTGCGTGTGTGGCCTGTGTGCGTCTTTAATCCTTTGTAAAGGCTGGCTTTGACTGGCCCAGAAATCGGATGTTTTCTCATTCGAGCTTTTCCCAGACACACCTCTTTCCTCCTCCTCCTTTTTTCTATTCAGTCTTTTTATTTCGCCCATCTATCGCTCTGTCTGGCCCCCATAATTTATTTTGCATTTGTCTGTAACTACGTTGCCTTGGGAGGATTTCTTTTTTTTTTTTTTTAAACAATTTAGACAAAAAGATAAAGCTTCGGCTTCTAACCCTCCCTCCCTCTCCTCCTCTTTCCCTGTAATATTCAGACACAATTGCTCGCAGCCTTGGGGCGGAATAGTTAAGAAGGTATGTGAAGTAAGTCTTTTTTAGGACTTTGAATGAACCAAAAGGAGAAAGAACGACGTGAGAGGGGGAAGGGTGGAGGACAAAGATGGAGCTAGATGAAGTGTGAGAGGGAGAAAAGCCTCTGAGCTGCAGGTGTGGGAGCAAATTGAGTTAAAGCGACCGTGCTTCTGGAGCTCGGAGAATAAGATGCATGTAGAAATAAAGCAACTCAAACACTCTGTGATAGTGTTTCGAAATAGCATTTTTGGAGGCTGACAAACCGCTGGTCTGGTAAATTTAAATCCGATTTCTGCTGCCTCTGCATAACCTGCAATTTCAGACGGAATAAAAAAGAAAGGGGCAGTATAATCAGCTGAAGCGCACAGATCTTATGCCTCTCTGATCCCTCATCCCGCCCACTGCACACAAGTCTCCCATTCTTGTATTTTTTCCTCATTCACTCCAGCGAGACGCCTGAGAGGAGGACGCATTCACTTTGTTTGCCAACACCAAAAGCTGGACTTCTTTGAAGAATCTAGGAACAGGATGTTAATTGAGTTTATTCTGTTTTATCCTCTTCCTCTTTAATGCATTTTCTAAGAATTAGATGGAAAAGTTGTGACAGCTTTACAAAGAAGACAGAGAGAGAAAGAGAAAGAGAGAAAGAGAGGGAGAGAGAGAGAGAGAGAAAGAGAGAGATTTGCCCTGAAGGCTTTGAAAGAAGAAACAGGAGCCAGATAAAAAAGGGGCAGCGATAATCTGCACAGCTGCTGCATGGAGAGAAGGAGACACAGACAGATAAAGAAAGCAAGAGAGGCGAACAAGTGCGAAGGACGAGGAGAGGAGACAGTCGAGGACGACCGTTCACGTTGAAGGCCACGGCAGATATAAATACGAAGTGAAGACAAAACCCAGAGGGACACCTGTCGTCAAATTAGCAGCAATGGAGACGCGTCGGGACGAGACAAGAAAGCTGGACTGAGGGGAAACGTTAAACACGCTGGGCTCGAGCGAAGTAAGACAAGAAGGTTTCTTCATCATGATTTCTTCAGGTGGCGTCCCACCTGAAGAAAGGTTAGGTGCACGGGAGGAGCAACTTCGTCCCAGGATAGAATGAGAAGAGGAGCCTGATCTGTCAGAACCGTCCTGCTTTCACATTAACTTCACCAACTCCCCCCCACCCCCTGCACTCCATCCCCTCACTATGTGGATACCAGCTGTGCTCCTATGGATGCTTTACTTCAGCTGTCTGTGCTCAGGTCAAGACTACAGGGACTATTACCCAACCGGAGACACGGGCACCGAGGTAAGACTTCCCTCTTCTCACTTTAGTTCATCCCAGACTTGAACTGTAGAACTTAAAGGAAAAAAAAAGCACACATCTTGACTCACTGCACTATGATGTTCACTGAAAGTCAAAAAAATGATGAAATACCTTTCATAGGAGCGGTGCTATGTGAGGCAGATAAGCTGTATTTACATTGGAAAAGTCCCTGGATTTAGGATCCATTTCACCAGAGAAACACATTCCGACACAGACGAGACTCACTGGGGAGAAATGCAGATGGGAATAGACAGGAAGACCAGAGAGATTCCCCAGAAGAAGACCGACTGGTGCTTAAAGCATTAAAATATATGACCATGTATTAGGGTCCAGCTAAGAAAATAACATTTTTTATTAATGACAAGATAAAATACCACATTTTTGCTTAAAGTTTTCCTCCCATGAGAAACAATCCAGTTCTTGTCACTGGTGGACATAATTAATGTTCCTAAAGTGTCAGCCTTACATCAGCTGCTGTGGTGTTCACCAAACAGGCGGGATGCAGCTCGGTGTTTTAGGTTCATGGTGTTATGAGAATCAAATCAAAATAATACAAAAAATAAAGATATGGCATTATGAGAATAAAGCTGTAGCATTACAAGAATTAAGTCATATTATCACATTATTTCAACTTAATTCTTGTGATATTGATCTTATTCTCACAACATTGGCTTTATTCTCGCAGAATAATGACTTTAGTCTCAATATTATGACTTTATTCTTCTAATATTGAATATTCTCAAAATGCCATGACTTTATTCTCATGTTATGCCAACCTTATTCTCGTAACACAATTTTATTCTTGTAATTTTATCACTTGATTTTCATACTATTATGACTTATTCTCAGAATTTTATTTTTTTCTTAGTTTGGCTCTAATAGTTGTAAAAATAAAACTGGTTATAAAGTGTTTATTTATTTTTATTTACATACTGTCATATGTGGATCGGTCTCCACTGATCCACATATGACAGGAAGTTTTACAAACAGCAGAAATTCAGTAACATTGTTTCACCAGCTGCCAGTGGGATCAGCATGGAACCATTGGACCTCAGGTCGGTCCAACATCAGGAGAAGAGCAGTGATGTAACTGCTAAGCCTATTAGGGAAAACACTAAATCGCTTATAATTTGCTCCAGAAGGTATGAGAACAAGCTTCAAAGACCAGACTGAGGTATAAAAATGGGATCAAAGTGAAACAGATGAGCACTAATGACAGCATGGTCGTAAAAGAAGAACAAATATAAAAACTAATAAGAAGAGGACTAAAAATACACTGAAATTAACAGAGAACACAACAGAAGATGAAAATTGACATGCAACAGAGGATGTGATATTAATGAAAGGTTGTCACAACATTTGTTGCATAAATAAAGGGAACAAACTAGTTAAGCAGCAAACTGAAAACCAACGAAATGTTGATATCCATTATGATTGACTCACAGTTTCCCTCATCATATTCTATTGGCTTTAGCATCTCAGCTACTAGAAATATGCAAATATCAGACATAAAGGACAGCCAGAAACCATCCAAATGGTCAAATGCATTATTGCCAGGCAGAACCTGATTGACTGGTGCTCAAAATATGATATCCAACCAATGTTGCTACCCAGCACATTTATATGTGGACAAAACATATTAAATTATTCACAGAATTAAACAAACTATTAAAAATCTAAAACTGTTGAGCATTATTTAAGTTCCCTTTGGGATCAACAGAGTATTTTTGAATTGACCAAGGATTTTTTAAAAATCCTCCATATTGGACATTTTTGGGCTAATTTTTTTTGTGTGTGCATTCTTTACTTAATTAATATAATATGTTTTAAATGTATATACAGTACTTTTTAAACTGGAGCTCAGATCTAATTTTAACATTTTCTAATCTTTCAACCAATGTACTTTTAAAAAATAGAGTGACATTATAAATAAATATAATTCAACAAATATGCAGGAAATAAACTACATGGAGTCAAATAGTCATCCTTGCAGGATCTAAAACTGTAATTACCAAGACGGAAAACAACAATTCATAAAAAGACATAGAAGTGGCCTGAGTATTCAATTCAATTCAGTTCAAACCTTCATCCAAAAAACTATGAACAAACATACAGAAAAAGAACAAATCAGGACCAGCGTAACAGAGCTGCTTTAACATACTGCCACCATGAGCGGCACAGTTCAAGAAGTCAACTATATAATTAATCAACCTGTTATAAAGAAGAACAATCCTTATTGTTATGACCCACAGAGGATAAATTGTTCAAACTCACGTCCTGTTTCCTCCATGCTGCTGGCTCTGATCCAGATATTAATGTTCAAAATAATATTTGAAAGCAACGGCACCTAGAGGAAAAAGGAATGAGTCAATTCCTTCTGTCACTTTCTGTTGTAATAAATGTGTTTCTGCTCTGAACGATGGATTTAAATCAAAGACATCTTCATCACTTCTCTTTGGTTGGACGTGTCTCAGGTGGAGAGAAATAAATGGGGTGAAAGCTGATAAATGAAGGTTTTAATAGACTTCAGATGGCTATTGTCAACAAATGTAGTAGCCTCAAACCCTCAACAGTAAAATATTAAATAACACTTCAGCTCCTTTAACTCACAATCTATTCACCTTCAGAACTTTGTACTCTAAATTGAAAGATCTTCATATAAAAAAAGCCAGTAATTACCACATTTTTGCTTAAAGTTTTCCTCCCATGAGAAACAATCCAGTTCTTGTCACTGGTGGACATAATTAATGTTCCTAAAGTGTCAGCCTTACATCAGCTGCTGTGGTGTTCACCAAACAGGCGGGATGCAGCTCGGTGTTTTAGGTTCATGTTTTTATGTGCATCCTTATCTGGAAGTTTGTGTTTGCAAAGCAGGAAAACGAGCTCCTGGGGAACATAAAGTGGAGCTAAAGTGGAGATTTGCAGATAAAGGCACCGGCTTACTACTCAGAACTTGCTCCAGTTCTTAGTAAAACTGAGTCCGTGTGCGTAGGAGGGGGCTCTGAACCCAGCAGCCTCTTCTTCACGACATTTTCCCCACAACTTTTCAACATAACTCCCTGGTTTAAGCCTCATATATAAATCTAAACAACAGTTTCAGACACATGTTATTTCTAATAGAAAACAGGCTGAGTGATAAATGTATGGGTGTGTGTGTAAATATTTGTGCCTCTGTGCCAGCAGTGCGTAATTCTGGACACACCCCAGAGCGCTGCATGGATAGCGGCTGGTGCAACGTCAAAACAGAGTCCCACAGCCATGACCTCATGTCATGCGATCGCTTAACAACGCTACGGAGCTTTATGTAATATAGTTATTCCACTATAAAACAGTTTAATATCAGCTCGTTTCACCCATTGTTCAGCTTTTGCCTGAAACTGCATCCACATCTTCAAGATTTAATGTGAAAAAAGGCAGAAATCAACAAAAATACATCTGAAAATGAGCAAAGAAAGCGATAACGGAAGTCAGTAATCATGAAAAGTGGTGGTGTAGCCATCTGTATGCATCCAAACAATCTGACGCTTAAAATGTCATCAAATAATATATGGAGAAAATGTTTTTTGTTTTAAAAGTGGGCCTGAATTTCCTAAAAAAAAAAAAAAGACAATAATCTTTTGAACAACAAGATGAGTGGATGAACTCATGGTTTAAGTTAGTCAGTAAGTCAGAAGCTCTGGTCTCGACTCCCTTCCTGGCAAGCAGCAAAGACAGATTTCGACTGTATGGAAGACAGGATGTCATTGTGAAAATAAAAACCTTAGACTTTATACTTTTGTAAATGTACAAAGTCAAAGAAAAAGTCTAATTGCAGCTAATTTTAAAGTGCAGCCTGAGTTAAAACTCAGAGTTGTAGCCTTAAACTTGTGATCATTTCACTGAAACTGGATTATAATCGCTTTACTTCTCGGTTGTCAACCTTCAGAAATACTGAACAAATGAAGCCTGAGGAGTGTTTGCTGACTGAGTATAAACCACACAATTGCAGCAGTGGCGCCTCACTTCTTAAAAATCACACGAATCCTCAGGGTTTCTGGGTGGTTTTATTTCCGTCTCAGAACATAAACGGTTTACAATCCTGAAATATTACTTTCACTTAAAGGTTAGATCACATTAAATATTGTGGTAACTCATCCACGTGTCTTTAAAGAGCTGTTGTGGATGGTGAGCAGTCGGTCCTCCAATGAGTCTAGACAGGCTCTTATTGAAGACACTAGTCATGATGAACACAAGCTAACAAAATATCTGGGCAGGAGAGACGATATTCCACAGCAAAATGTCCTGGATGACATCATTAGTTTTTGGCAAGAACCGCTAATCCAACTCATGTGCTTTTGCCGTTCCTCTTTAACTCTATGTCTGTCGTATGGTTAGAAACACAGGCAGAGAGAAGTTGGAGTAGCAGATGACACCCATTTGGTGTCATAGTTCAAGTATTAGAGCTTTTGAGAGTTTGTTCCAGATTAGTGGAGTATAACAGAATGCTGCTTCTCCATGTTTGGTTCTGGGGAAAAGCCCAATGATGACCAACTTCCAGGTTACTGGAAAGTTGGAAACGGTGAACCCCAGATGGCACACTCTGATGCACTTCTCAAGACCCTCTACATTTAGATTTTCAAAGTTAAGTGAATGTCGTATTGATTTAATACATAAAATGCAAAACTATGAGAGGGGGAAAAAAAAGGAAAATGGAGGAAATGAATAAGTTGAAAATATGTTGCGAGAGAAGATTTGGGAGTGGGAGATAAGTAGGGATCTGATTTCTGTTTAGCTAATGCCAGCTGTGCCAGTCAACCTCTTCTAAGCCTGTGAACCTAAACAACCTCTGATATTCCCAAAAGAAAAAAAAAATGATTAGGTGTGAAGCATGAAGAGCACTGCCCCTGACATTTCCAAACCCACAGCTTTGATTTCCCAGTCCGTTAAACAATTATTCAGCTATCTTTCATCTACTGTTGCTCTATGAAGAGTTATCCGTCGTCACGGTAGAAAAATCTTTGTTGAGTGACTCACAGTAGGAAGGTTTTATATGATAATGTCAACCGTAAAATTTGATTTCCTGTGTGAAATCTGTTGAAATTAAACTTTAATGTGTGGGTATAATCTCCAGTATATTTGGTTCTTTCTTATGTGTTGTCATGTGAGAAGCTTGTCAATGACGAGGAGAACAGCATCACACTCAACGTTATCCTAGCTCTAATTCTAGAGGAGTTTTACAGATTCAGTTTAAAAAAAAAAAAAAAAAAGAGCTTAATATTTAGGTAAGAACCTGAATCCAGGCTGAATCTGCAGCACCAGCAGTGCTCAGGTGAGGGAAGGACAAGCGTGTTCCTAATCACTAACAGTAGCCGACAGCGACATGTTACAACACATTGGTAGCTGAGGTATTCATTGTTTATCCTGCACAGCCAGTGAGCCTGAATAGATAAGCTTACCCATATCTAACAGTTTTACTATAACAAATAAACCCTAGGACTGGATTGTTTTTGATTTGAAACCATAAAAAGGAGTTTTTCTTAATGATTTTATCTGGATTATACACTGGCTTGCAAAAGTATTCAATCCCCTTTGAACTTGTTTATATTTTGTCATGCCACAACCACACATTTAGGCTATGTTCTCACATATCCTTTTTTTTTTCTTTTTTTTTTTTTTAACCGCAGTCTAAACTACCCAATTCCATTGTTTGTTTTCAAAGCATCTGCAGCATAAACTGTCATTTTATCAGATTTTTACATCATTGATTTGGGAAATGCGTCATAATTCTGCACCAGAAGAAGCCAGACACTGGAGGTAAACAATGGCTGAGAATTATAATTATGAAAATTAACTTATGGTGAATCACATCACAATGAACAATGAGATTGTTCAGGCTCCTGTACAGACGCTACAGAGAATACGGCATAAAATACCATTACTATAAGTTGTGCTTTCTTTTTATCAATTTCCTTCGTCTTATTTTGAACATGACAATACTGTTGGCTCCCATTGCTCAATAATCTGTAGCTGGCAGAATATATTATTATGCTATTTGTTTTCTTTAGAAAATACATTAGTGGTTGTGTTGGCCATAGTGTCTCCCCAATTGTTCACTGAAGATTAACTCAAGAAGTTTTCCCTGTGATTTCCCCCTCCAGGCTCCAGCCCAGTCAGATGACCAGTCCAGTTTGGAGACAGTGACCAGCATGGACCAGCTGCTGCAGCTCTTCTACCCTGAATACAGCTTGATCCAGCAGTGCATGAGGAAAAGATCCTGGCACGCCTCCTCTTCCTCATCTTCCTTCCCTTCCTCGTCTTTTTCAACCTCTTCGGTGAGCCCTTTGGTCCGCTCTGACGACGACGACATGTGGGTTCCGATGCGGGAGGAACCCGTCTACAGAGTGGACGGAACGCTAGCCGGTAACCTGAATACAAATCTTGTTTTCTAACTCTTATCGAAACAAACAAATCCAGTTATTGAATCCCGTTTTCAGTCATTCTGGAAGAGATCCAACGTACGTCGTGCCAGCCGAGAGAGGTGTGTGTTGAGGTGGCCAAGGAGTACCCAGAATCCACCAGTCAGCTGTACCTCCCTCGCTGTGTGGCGCTGCATCGGTGCGGTGGGTGCTGCGGGAACGAGGCTTTTTACTGCACCAACACGAGCTACAGTCTTGTCAATAAAACCGTGAGTCACACCGACTTCAGATTTCTTGCTTTGATTTTGTTGCCAAACTCAAATGTTTTGTATCATCAGAAACTGGCTCTTAATGTTATATCACTGTGGAGGAATTTTGGCGCTCCTCTTGAAGAATTGGAAGATTTTTCCAGTGGGAAAGGCCACTGCATCACTGTTGAAATTAAGGCTAGGCTTTGACTAGACCACTGAAAATGTTCACTTTTTTTTTTTTTTAGCAATGTACAGATGGACTTGTAAGGCTTCATCCTTTGAAAGCCAATTATGTCAGCAATCCAACAGAGGTCATCCAAATTAATTTCCCGAAAAATTTACCTGGTGGATCATTGGCACCTAACCCTATCCTAAGATTCATTGCGGGTCAAATGGGAGATTTTTCTTCTTGTAACAATGGCGGATGAAGTGGTAGACAGAGCAGGTGAGGAGTAGAGCTTAAATTAAATGAAATCAGACTTGTATAGCACTTTTCTGGACAATAAAAGAGAATGAAATCAGTCATTTCCATTAAGCGACATTCACGTGGAAATATATTAAACTATAACATTACAGCTGTGTCAGTGCACAGATGCAGCCTCTGAATTTGGGCACACTGTAAAAACATTAGGTCTGTCTTGGTAAACTGTGCTGAACAATAAGTTAGCCTAGAAATTTTTGCGATAAACTATAATATTGTTGTTTTAAGGTCAATTTTATGTTACAAATTTATAATGACATAATACTGCAAGACCAATAAATAAATAGCCAAAATAAAACTACCAAAGTGGTTAAGTGATTACTTTACTCTAAAAGACTTGCATAAATCAAGCCTGAATGTGGCAAGAGAAAATGTTTACTTGGATGGTGTCTTTTCTCATGTCTGATATTAAATTTTGTTTTTCAATCTGAAACATTTAAATGTCAAACAAACAAACAAACAAAAAACTGACAGACTCTATAAAGAGGCAATTACTGTTTCACAGCGCTGTAAATCTGCTTTCACACCTCAAATCCATCTGGACGCTGAAACCAATTTCCACAATTATGTATCTGGTGGCCCAACACAGCCCACTCCAGAGGGAATAGGTTGTGACTGGATGCAGCGTTTAGAGTCACGCACATCTGCACAACAACTGCTCACAACAAAATGCTTTTCTAAAACCAAGACGACTTTTTTAAAACTAGAGACACACCTGTCCCTGTGAGCATTTAAACTTTCTATTTTCCTTCCCGCCAGCTGATGGAGCTGTCTCCGCCCAGGATGGATCGCTCAGTCGCCATGGTAACATTCGTCAACCACACCTCGTGCGAATGCCTCTCCAAGCGGCCGCTTCACTCCATCATAAGGCGAGCGGCAACAGATCATCTGTGAGTAAGAGACTCGCTGATGTCTGTCTCCACCTCTTCTCGTCTCATGCATTACTAAACGCGTATGGCCGTGTGGGTATGTGTGTGTGTGTGTGTGTGTGTGTAGGTGCTCCCCTCCTGAAGTCCCCTGCACCTCCGGATCATTATGGGATCCAGTGAACTGTGTGTGTGTCTCTGCGGACACCATCAGCTACACTCAGAAACAAACAGGTGAGAGTTGAGA